TGGATTCAGGGCTAGGCAGAACCAGAGAGGACTCAAGGAATCTCCTTGAAAAATTCCTCGCCTAATGAATATTTGGTTTGTTTGTATGGAAGTGTTACTAACCCTGAGATGTAGTGTTGTTCTCCAGTGCTGCATAGTGTTTTGGAAGAATGCAATGAGTGATGGATGTATTTTGTACATGTGTAGAATATGTAGCAGCCATCTGTGTGGAACACTGTCGAATGCTTTTTTGTAGTCTATATATGCCATGTGTATGTTTCTGTGTTGTTTGTGTGCTTACCATAGAATGACTGAATCTATGAGTATTATTATTATTATTATTATTATTATATGTTTGTCAACAGATAGCTTAATAAAAAATGTCTGTTTTCTTTAAGAACTTTTTCCTCAATTCTTGTGTAAAAATCTTAACACCAGTATAATTGTCCTGTTAATAATTAATGTCCATGTTGACAAACATATAATAAGAAATTAAGTAAGGACAGTAAGGCAATAATAATGAGGGACTCTTTTGTTTATGTTGGTACCTGTAGTATCCATAATGCCACAATATCTTTTCTAAAGCTCTTGAATCATTTGGTAAAATCTTGAAACTTTCTCTACAGACATTTTCTATTTGTTCAAGTATTCTACTTTGAGAGAATTGAGTGTGTAAAAGACTATGGGGGGTACATAATTGACCTACCTAATAGGGGGTACCTACCCTAGAAAACCCGCTGTGCATCTCACTGAGCAGTTCCCAGTTCTGAGAGATTGGATCATATACATAGCATCCTATAAAATTGTTTGAAGCAGAAATGAGGTTTCTGCAATCTGTAATGCAAATATTTATCAGAATGACAAAGTTAATGCAAGAGGAAGCGTTTTTTACTCATATTTATATATTTATGAAATGTCATCTTTATTCTTAGCATGATGTGAATGTTTTTTAAACTTGAAGTAATTGCAGAGTTAAGTTATATGATAGACTTGAAAAGTATATGCTAAGTTATATGATAGACTTGAAAAATACATATAACATCCTGAAAATCATTGACTTTGGCCATGATGTGCAAAAGAAACTGGAATCTCTTTTTTGAAATAAAATAATTTCAGAGAGTGTAAAAATGAATTTTTTTTTTCTTGTGCAAAAGATTTCTACATTATGGCTGCATTCGAAGTACTGTTCATCTTGCAAATGAAAAGTAGACTGTTTTGTGATTTTTAGACACTGCATCTATCAGTAAAAGTGAATAATGGTCAATAGAAGATATATGCCAGATTGCATTTTTGTTAAAATATCTTCCTTATGAGGGTGTCGACAAAGTAGTAGACAAATGGAGAATATATCATACCAAGAAATACCAGAATCTTAGTTCCTGGAAAATAGCACATTTGATTCTAGTAAACTGTGTCCTGATGATGTCAGCTGTGATTACAACTCAAAGTCAGACATTAAAGTTTGATGACAAAAGGTTAAAGAGCACATGTTTATGTGCTATAGGAATATGTTGCTGCACTATGTTAAAATGTTTTATATAAAGAACCAGGCAGAATACGAAACTTTTAGCAAGCTGATAAAAATATATTTAATTCTTTATGACAGTGCAGACATCAAAAGAGGATTTAGCAAAAACAAAAGGATACTTTACCTCAACAGAACATGTCTGTAAAAAGCATTAATGGATTGAGAACTATTTCATCCTTCATGACAGATTCAATGGAAATTCTGGGAAAATCCCAATAACAAGACAGGTTCTGCAATCAGTCAAGAATTCACACAAACAATATAAGGAAAGAAAGAGGCTGAAGTCTTATTAAGAGCATCAACGTCCTTGAAAAACTCGGAAGAGTCAAGAGGGCAGAATTTAATGTTATAATTTTAATAATTTTTATAATATTATAATTTTTTTTCTTGTATATTTCTTATGGTGTATTTATATTTTTGCTTAGACTTTTGAAAAAGGCTTATGGTCAGTGTCATAAATAAATAATAATGAAGCATCTCCATACCGTCTTTCATTAAGAAGCTTTAGAATAAAAGATCTAACCAAGACAGAAGCACTACATGCAATTAGCAAAAGTGTTATGGACATTATAAGTAACACAGAAAACTCATTTGCAGAAATAGCTGATAGATGTTCATCAAAGAGAGAAAACTATAATAAAAATCAAACATTTTTACTAGCAATAAGAGTTTAATGAACAAATACTTTCAACCTTCATAGGATGATCATTAAGTCATACAAAGATTGAACTAATGACAGAAAATTGGAATGGAATAAATACAAACATTTAAAAATGTTTAAGTTGTTAAATATCATTACATAAAATAAAAGAATAAGTAGAAATACATAAATAAGTGTAAGGTAAATTAAAATAATTTTTATATTTTTATATATTTATTTATCAAAATTATTATATAGATATAGGAATGAACAGCAGATGTGTGATATCTTATAATATCTAATAGAACTCTTTTATATATATATAAAAGAGTTCTATTAGATATATCTAAAAGAGTTCTATTATATATATATATATATATGAAATGCCAGGATTTATATAAATTGTCAACATCTTTGGTGTTGATACACTGCCAGATTGTCGACTACTTGTAAATTTGGATGTTTCTAATGTGTTTGTCTTCATATCAAAAGGAAACTAACTGATCAAATAAATTGCACTATGAAAAATAAAAAATGATCCTGTCAAAAAAAAGAATAAAAAATATTCATTAATTTTTTGTTTGTTGTCATTTAATTTAAGCAATTAAATTTTTTCAAACCATCTTAGAAAGTAGTTCAAGATTTTGGTTTAAAAAATTTCTTGAAATTCTTAGATGCTAAGAAATCTTTTTTCTTATATAAAACATTAATTACAAATAAGAATGAATATGGTTGTACTAATAAATACAACCATATTAAGTAGTTATGTGATAAAATCTGTATTAAATAGTGAGTAGCAATAAAATAATTTTCAAGAATGATATTGATATATAATTAGTCATTTGTTTTTGTTTATTAATAAATTTTATTTATTTAAATATGTTAATATAATGAAATTGTTTCAGCTTGATCCACACATGGATGAATTCTTTCTTAAACAAGCTTTTACATTAATGGGAGAAAATCTTCTTCAAGCAAAAATAATTAAGAATAAAGTAACTGGGTAAGAAAGTAATATAATTTTTAAGTCATTATCAAATATCACATATCTAATTCTCTAAAGATTTTCTTTGTAATTACAGTAATAATATAATTAATCAAATGGAAAAAATGTTTTTATTAATGATAAAGGAAAAATAGTTGAAAATAAAAACACAGTATAAAAGTTTACATTTGTAGCTTTTCTTTTCCTCAAAAAAAAAAAAAAGGAATACTTAAGCATAATTAACCAAAGCTATAATAAGAATGGTTAAACCAACAAATTTGGTCTAAAAGTAGGCAATTTGATCACCTTATTGTATTAATATTAATAATTAAATTTGAAATTAATTAATTAAATAATTTAGAAAATTCTGGAAGGAAAGCTTGACCTGCAGCTTGACTCAAACACCTAACTTTTGCTTGCTTCTTTACTTTCAGAATTTTTTAAATTATTTAATTTTATTTCTAATTATTATTAATACAAGATGATTGCTTTTCATGCTAACTCAAACTCAATAATGTGTACTACACAGGAAAATAAATAATAGAATGCTTTAATGAAAATTAAACTTTTAAAATATACATTGAAAATAATTCCAGTGCTTTGAATATAATCTTTGAATTTATCTTTAAGGAGGCTTTGAAAAATGAACACTTTTGCTAAAGAAATGGGCAATGCCTTCACCTCTGTCATATCTTTTATTGTATCATTGTCATAGTTACCTCAGAATTCAGAATCACAAGTTAAAAACAACAAAAAGTAAAAGTTCTTATGGATATAAGGTTAATATTTTTAAGATGCCAAGTAATTAAATGACATACAATTAATGTAATTTTTGATGTTGAAATTAATTCTTTTTAAAATTTGTTTAACTGTTGCATTTTCAAGCTGTTGATACGCTGTCCGAGTCTTTTATTTTGACTACTTTAAGCTTCAAGCTCTCTTTAAGGTTAAAATGCTCTTAATGATGTGATAATTCTCTCTTACTTCTATACGTTCTAAGAGTGAGGATCATTTCAAGAACTGATGTTTTACTGTCCAGGATGTTATATTAGGGAAGTGTGGATGTTTCCTCTTTTTATGTCATTACTCTATTTTCTGATCCGATTCTTAATGCTAAAGTGGTTACTCCAATGTATTTTAATTCTTTATTAACATCTAGTGTTTACAAAAAAGATCTTGTAGACACTGCTCTTATCTAAGCATATGAAAACTAAAACTCCAGACTACAATTAATACCAAATATTTTTTATTTCAATGTTTCATATCATGCCCACAGTTTGTGTAAGTTTTTTGGCTTCAGCCTATTACAGAAGCTGGTCCATGTTGAGCTGTCTTTCTCACTTTAGCTTTAACTTTGTATGTTATCTGTGGAAGTGTATGGAATCAAACTGCTAGAATTTGGCTTTAATTCTTTACTACAATTCTTCAGTTTTGGCTTTCCAGCCATCTTGATAGACTGCCAGTTTGAGTTAAAACCAAAAATGTTCAACTGGCCTTAGTTTAGGCATATTTGCAATACTTTCATAATGAGAAATGTATTATATTTCATAATGCTGATTAAGCAGCTACAGTTTCCTTGACATAGTGTGCACTTTCCATGTTAGGCCAAAAAATGTATCTTTTTTGTGTAGGATAATGTTTTTTCAAAAAATAAACTAGTTGCTTTTTAACATTCTGTGGAGTATCAAATCTTTCTTGACACAAAAATTTTATATTGTAATGTACAGTACACTGCTGAGCACCTTTTAAAATAGATTTCAATATCATACACAACTGTATAAAGCAGCAAAGATGCATTAAGTACTGGGGTTGGATGTCACGCTAACAGTTATCTCAATCAAAACTTCTTCCAAAACTTCAGACTATGAGGCGTTAAATATAATTAAAAATAATTTATTCTTGCGAGCGCTTTCGACGTAAATATGCACGTCGTCTTCAGGCAATAGAAATTGAACAGAGAATTCGAACCATACATTTAAATTTAAACATTAACGATATTAGCCGTTTTTTGAATAGACAGCATAGAAACCGAACAGAATAGATCCATAAGTGCTAGTAATGGTGATGCACTTTGGAACTATATGATGGGATCTACACTTGAGAAGAAAGATTAGTTGGGCATGTATTTTATGCCACAACTTTTGTAAATTTAACATAGAAAAGAAGAACATCCGAATTCTGTTACTCATCTTGTTAGGAGTATTAAGTACTGGGGTTGGATGTCACGCCAACAGTTATCTCAATCAAAACTTCTTCCAAAACTTCAGACTATGAGGCGTTAAATATAATTAAAAATAATTTATTCTTGCGAGCGCTTTCGACGTAAATATGCACGTCGTCTTCAGGCAATAGAAATTGAACAGAGAATTCGAACCATACATTTAAATTTAAACATTAACGATATTAGCCGTTTTTTGAATAGACAGCATAGAAACCGAACAGAATAGATCCATAAGTGCTAGTAATGGTGATGCACTTTGGAACTATATGATGGGATCTACACTTGAGAAGAAAGATTAGTTGGGCATGTATTTTATGCCACAACTTTTGTAAATTTAACATAGAAAAGAAGAACATCCGAATTCTGTTACTCATCTTGTTAGGAGTATTAAGTACTGGGGTTGGATGTCACGCCAACAGTTATCTCAATCAAAACTTCTTCCAAAACTTCAGACTATGAGACTACTAATTATTTTTAATTATATTTAACGCCTCATAGTCTGAAGTTTTGGAAGAAGTTTTGATTGAGATAACTGTTGGCGTGACATCCAACCCCAGTACTTAATACTCCTAACAAGATGAGTAACAGAATTCGGATGTTCTTCTTTTCTATGTTAAATTTACAAAAGTTGTGGCATAAAATACATGCCCAACTAATCTTTCTTCTCAAGTGTAGATCCCATCATATAGTTCCAAAGTGCATCACCATTACTAGCACTTATGGATCTATTCAGTTCGGTTTCTATGCTGTCTATTCAAAAAATGGCTAATATCGTTAATGTTTAAATTTAAATGTATGGTTCAAATTCTCTGTTCAATTTCTATTGCATATTTACGTCAAAAGCGCTCGCAAGAATAAATTATTTTTAATTATATTTAACGCCTCATAGTCTGAAGTTTTGGAAGAAGTTTTGATTGAGCAAAGATGCACTTTAATAATCAAAAATTAACATTTTTGGTGATCTTTAATGACCTCCTTCAGATTAACATTCTAATATTAAATGCTTTCAAAATATGTAATAGAACAAATATGTAAAAGCCACATAAAATTTAAAATTTCAAAGATTATCATGTTATGATTAGTTCAGTATAATATAACGTCATGTAAATACATATTTGTGCTTCTTAATTGGGATCTCAAACCAAGAATGCTGTTCCTTCAATATAGTGCCTTGGTCCTTCTAATTAATGATTACTACAAACACCAATTTCTTGCAGAATTTCTTTGTCTTTTGAACTCCACTTAGTCTTTTTCTGCAAAGTCTTGGCATTGCTTGACATAGTAGTAATTGTTTTCCATACACATTTACTTTTGTCAAAAATTAAAATATGATTGAGTCCTCTGAGACTGTCCAAAGGAAATATGAAAAGTCTTTTGAAAATAAATAAAAAATGAAAAGTCCTTTGAGGCTGTTCAATGAAATGTGACTCATCATAGATGATGAGTCATATTTCATTGGACAGTCTTAAATGACCATCACTAAGCTTGCATAACAATGACTTCTGCATGTTGAGTTGATTTGCTTAATATTGAGGGCTGATTTACACTTGGGTGTGAGATAAAAAGATAAAGCATCCAAAGTAGAAACTTGTTTATTTTTCTCTTTCTAATGTTTCAACATTACAAAATATGTTCTTCAGGATGGCCTCTAAATTTAATACAAAGTGCATGAACAGAGTTAAAAAATTTGAATATTTTACATTCAAAATTACATTTACATTTGAAACAGTTTTTCACATTTATAGTTTGAAAGTTACAAAAATTGAAAATAAGGATAAAATAAAGATTAAACTTAGATAATATCAAAAATAATAAATATGTGGTTAGACTGGTCAAGGACAACCATTTCCTTGCTGTGCAAAATTTGAATTTTTAGGATAATTTTTAAAATTTCATTATCTTATTTCAAAATTGTAGTAGAATTGATCTATTTCTTGTTTTTACCACAAACATATTCCAGTTTGATGGTTAAATCATTTATTTTAAATGTTTATTATATTATTAAAATTTAATATTTCTGAAAAAGTGTGAAAGAAAATAATTAATTTAAAAGGTTTTGCTCAATTTGCTGTATACATTAGTTAGATGTATCTGTTTTTTTTTCAAACAAAATAAACCCCAAGTCTTTAGGTTAAGTTGGGGAGATATTACAGCCTATTGTTTGTATAGCCGCTTCCATTTGCCAAGCTGTGGGGGTTGGTTACCTTTGCCTGAATCTAGTTCAAGACACTTTGTTTTCAATATTTTATAGTAGGCACTATTTACATATTATTTAAACTATTATTACAACAGTTGACTATAATAAGTGATTATTTACATAGTTTCTCTTATTAATAGTGGAGGAGATATTGACTTTTGCAGGAAATTTAAAACTAGATGATTCTGACAAGGTGCATACTCAATTAAAAAGTGTCAAACAACTAAATATTAGCTAATCAGAATTTAAGAAAAACTAAAATAAGCAATTTAACATTTGTTTACATTTTGTCTCTAATAACATAGCAAAAGGAGGTATTGACTTTCCTGCCAAAGCTATAGTTAGGCAATTCTGACAAGATTTTTATTCATTTAAATAGTGTCTTTTAAGATATAAGCAACCAACCATAGTTTAGATGATATTTTTACAAAACATTTAGCAACCAATTATCTACAACAAAGTCTCATTGCTTTACAACAGGGTTAAGTTTTGTGGAAAATTTGTGGCAAGAGGATGATGATAAAACAATTATTGGTTAAAATAGTGTCAATTAATCTTAAGATAAGCCAACTAGAGCTTAGATTGCCTCAAACATGACTG